ATACTTTAAGAGTAAAATACTTCAGTATGATAAATTTGTGTTGGTTTTTGATAAAAAAAATTTACAAACTTAAATTTATGTAAGTTAAAAATCATTTATGTGTATTGATTTTAATACTAATACTAAAAAAATTGATGTAATTCCAATATCCATGAATGTAAATGATTTTGCATGGACTATTTTCTCTCAAATTTCGATTATTTAATTAAAAGACTATTAACAAAAATTTAGAAAATTGGATAGGAACAAATCAAGCATGTTCTCATCCTGAGAGTTTTGTCATAGTGTATGAAACAAGTCCATTTAAATCTTTCTATCAACTGCATTTGTCAAGATCAATACATTTCGTATGTTGAAAATGATCGGCCAATGCTAAAAACGTTCATTGCCATCCAATTCATTGAAAAACTCAAGAAGATAAGTTCGGTTGTTGTTACATTGAGCTGTGGACACTAAGAAGAAGTACATCCTGTACATTAGTATTTGATCTATCTCTATATCTCTCTGTCTCGTGATCAAATTAATTATTATATATGACTGCTTTAATCATAATTCTTATGGCGATAATACTCATTAGGTACATTTGTACATAAACGGAAAAGTTTGGAAATCAAAGGAAAAGTATTGTAACGTGGAATTTATGTTCATTCGGTAATCTATACTCATGCCCTTACAAATTTTGTAAAGGCTGATATTGCTTAACTGTCTATATCAGATGTAAGCATCAATTTAGCTCTAAAATATGTTGTACGTTACCAAAGAGCAAAGTGAAAGAGCAAAGGTCTCTTCATGAACAAATTCATGCACGATTTGTCTCGATGCAAGTCACAGTTGCAATTGGTGAGATACTGGATTATCACAAGAGTGATTAGCTCTTTGTGTTTAGCTTCGTTATAAAATTTGGGATTTGACTATTTTTTGGGTTTGCGTTTGCCTTTTCAATCTACTTTAGTTATTGTACTTTAAATGATGTTTGTTATTCGACAACCTGAACTACGATCCAATACTAAACCAATCTCTTGATCAATGGAGTATGCTCACCGAAAGACTAAACCAGCTCAAAATTCAGAGTAATGTAAACGAAACGACAAGCATAAGTCAACTCCATATTAACTTTCTGTAAGTCCAAAATTTGTTTCAAATTAAAACCAAACGATATTTAAAGAGAGAGAATTGCGAAGAGAATAACAAGCATAAGTGTGGTAAATGTCTCCTATCATTATCATCATAAAGGGGACACATTTGTGAATAGGATAATCCATGTGTTGTATTAGTTTTATTTTGCCAGAATCGTGAAATGAGTCTACGGCTTCGTTATATGCATGGTTAGCTAAACGTATCTACAAGCACTACCCCACATATGACAATCAATTCGTCATAAGCACGTTTGGGCTGACTCATTACTTCTGGGTTTTCCCCCTCACTCGATACAATTAACATGAGAGTGCCAAAGTGAGGCCCCATTTCTGTTTCCAACGCACACAATTTTGATGACAAGACTTTGAAGGTAAAGTAACTGCGGATGTAACTCAACCCTACCTTGACCAATGTCGCATGGGCATTATGTCACTATGGAAATGAAAACCCGTTCACACCTGGCTCAAATTTGTGACTTACTAAAAGAGTGAAATTACACAAGAATCTCTAATGAGAGTACATAGTAGATAGGACTAAAAAGCTGGGGGCCATATATGTAGGTTATGAAGGCTTTAAATGTTGTTGATCAGGAATGCTTATACTTTGTTAAGCTGACTCCACCGAAGTATGAGTTTTTAGAAGACAGATCCACAGTCAGACTTTGCTCTCAAGCTTGGTTTTTGTAATCAATATTGCTTGACTAAGACGAGCTTGGTAGAAATGGGTGCATCATCGGTGGTCAGTTTCACCACCCAAGTGATACTCTGTTCTATGTCCACGCTTCGTATGATCACTCTCCATTCCAAATTTTAGTGATGCTTAGATCACTCTAAACTTAGAGCGATAATTCCTGGATGAATTCTGTCTTTCAAATGGTATCATATATAACACGCTAAGCCACAAACATATATAACACAAAAGCCACAATGTCAGCCTGACCAACCAAACGGGGATTTAAAAGTGTACGGAAGTTCCACCAAAACTATAAAGTTATCTGAACTTTGTCATTCAATATCTAGGAGATCAATAGTCTTAAAAACACCAGAGACCCGCAAAGTCAGTTGATGAGTCGGTAGACCCCTCAGCAGCAGGGAGAACACACCGGGATTGGCAACATGTGCACCTCGTTAAGCCACTCAGATGGAAAAGGCACATTACGTAGCTGAAGCACATTTCTGATTCCTTGTAGAGGCAGCTGGACTCCTGCTGGAGAAATGAGGACCAAGACGTTCAAGTCACAAGCAGGAGTGCGTGCACCCAGATTTATGATGCACTTGGAAAGTGAAGAAAACGAGGGGGCAAACAGCCAGCGCTGTTTCTGGAAGCACGCATGATTTCAGGCATGTCACAACTGTTAAAATTGCTTCATGGGTTGGCCAAAAAAAATCTGAGCTAGATGGAAAGTCATTTGAGACTTTTCCAGTCTCGACCGACCCTCAACGACAAAACGGCAAACGATAGATCGAGCTCGAGCCACCGACCAGGGAGCTCATGAACGGCATCAACACAAACAAACACACAAGCAGCAGCAGCAGCAGTTGTTGTTGTTGGATTCCTACCTTAGGACAGCGCTTTCCAACCAAGTCCTTCAAATTTTAACAAGTACTCGGTGATGCCTAAGGCGAGCTTAGAAGCGTTCTAACAATGCACTAAAGCTCGATAAGCCTCCAGCAGAAGCAGCCGGAGGGACTTCGCGATGTCCGCTGTCTCGGGCCCTTCATGTGTGTGTATAACTTTTGATCCCACGGGTGTGACATCCGTCTGTAAGACTGGTAGGCTCCACATGGGCCGAGCCAATAGTGGCGCTACGGAAGCATACTAGCAGACCCTCTGACATTAAGTAATGGCAAGGAGAGGCAGCATTGAACGCTGTGGAGTTTGAAGGGTCGAGGAACTTGATGTCTCGGTATTTTCTTTATGCCAACCGTGTGTCCAGTTGCTCCGTAGTGCTCAGTGAGGTCCAGAGTCACTCGGACCTTCAGAGAGTGGGAGCGTTAACGAGGGCGATGAGGCCCATCGGTTGGTGGAGATCTGGGCGCCGTACATGGATTTAGTGCTCATGAGAAGATTTGAGGAGTTACTTTGCCTCGAAATATGTCCACTACTCAGACCCTGTATCAACCACAGCATTAGAATATGTTTCGCGTTGCTTTCGAGAGCTTCCATGCAACAAGAATGCTGCACCGCAGTGACCGCACTGATGGAGCGTTTAAGACTGCTATGGCTCTTGTGCAGACCCAGTTGTGCACTTTGTGATTCTCTCTCTCCTCTCTCGGACTCTCTCCGTGTCTCCCTCCACCCATCAAAACCAACCTCACCAGCTGCCCTACACATCCTTGCTTTCAACTCCAACAATACATTGCTAATAGACCTCGCCAATCCCTTTTCCCTCCTCCATACTTGGCTGTACTCAACTGTATCATCATCTCCTGTACTCTCGGACCTCCGACTTGCTTCTTCTTACTTTCCACTTGCCACGTACTCTCGATCTATCTGTCCAAATGAGTACAATCCCTTCAGCTGCATCTCGGCTGTGGATTGGTGGCAAGGTAAGGAAGGAGCAGAGGAGTTAAGAGCACGGTTAGAGTTCATATCGTCTCCCGGCACGTCATCGTCCCTGTCAGGTTAGCATGCACTCGCATATGGGCACAGCCAGAAATCCTGACTGCCAGCCTGCGGATGCTTGAGATGATCTCAAAGAAACAATTGCTGTACAGTAGTCGGACCTGGGTAGAATATCGTTGTGGAATTCCTCAATGTCTCCCATTTATTCAAAAGCAACAGATGCACCATCTCCGAATAAAGATGCTACTGTTAGTTCTGCGCGTTGAACACCTACTCACAAATAAGAAGCAGTTTCTTCCCAATTGGCCTTGTGGATCGAACAATTCCAGCACACGCTGGTGAAAAGCCAACTCTGAGCCAATTGTATGACCCAGTTGCAGCAGATACGTTACTGTTGTGTAGAAATGATGACAGATAACGGCAATTTAATGAGCATTGCTGAATCCATTCAGTACCGTGAGACATCTACCAAGGTTTGACTTTAGGTTTGTTGCAGGGGCTGCGTAATTGCTGTGATCAGATAAATATTTCGAGTCCAACGTGTCCCAGCAAATCCAGAACTTCTCGCTGTTATACGAATTACGAGAGCATTCTCCTCCTGTCTCAACAAGTACTTCGCACACCACTTGGCATCTTTGTTCGAGGTAATAACTCTCATTACAGAAACAAAAAACGAGTCTCTGAACGAATCTAGAGAACTGAGCTTTCTGTAGTGGAGGTAGTTTGAATTCTTGGAGATTGTCAGGCTCTGGTCTCCATCAATTGCTCATATTTTGGGATACCATTGCATGGAAAGTTTCCGTGGGCCGCCACAATATTTGGAACGGTTGAATGTCACAATTTGGTACCCACATAGATATGCGAAGTCTTAACATTTTAAGTCTTCAACCGCTGTGGGCAAGCCTTGACATACTCTTTCTTAGATCTGCGTAGGTCCACATAGCGTGGATTTCAAACTCGTCCTCAGCAACCTCGACCTACTTTGTTCCGGACCTACCCATCCTACCTATACTATGGACTTGCGATACATTCCACGTTCATGAGGGATACGAGACAATCAAGTACTCATTGGAGCCCATGAGCTTCAGCTACAGAGCTGCATACATTCCAATAATTGGGTCTACTCTACACAATGAATCAAAGTCCATCATGGCGCAGACTTCACAGCAGATCTCAACTGGCATAAGGCAAGTCAACTGCACAATGATATCCGACGTCTAGAGCACATCCTGGTAAGGGACATGTTTCACAAAATAAGTAACACAAGAGGCGATTAAACCGAGTAGAGAAACGACATCAGAAGGTTCCCTTCTTTGTTTATTTCGCTGTAGGGAAAGCAATACAATGAGCATATCAACGTTTTGAAATATTCAGGAAGCTTTGTTCTTCGTAATCCTCTATCAGTGAAGAGATCTTTTAATCTATTGCACATTCGTCTTCCTCAGCGTCGTACGAGCAGCACTAGTTGTGAATCTACTGGGGAACAACCCGACCGGCGAGGTATTATCCTATTTTACAATCTGTCAAGTATTTAATGGCGTGTTTCGTCCACAGGTTGATAAGATTTGTAGCTGGGTCGCCGGACTGTAATTATTCGCGTTTATTCTCGTTATTTCCCTATCAGAGGCCTGCTGCTGTCAACTGTTCGTGCCTTATGTTAATCTACATCCTCGCACTAGAGAAATGAATCGTTTTAATCAGGAGAGAAGGCGAGATAAGCCGTGCTACGCCTCTTCCACCCCGCTCTAGAACAACTACTGTATCGACTAACTAAGCAAAGAATGGTCGCCGTTGGTGCACGGTCGGTTCGATCATCGCCGGCGACGAGAGAGTCTCCAAGCGACGAAGAAGTAGGACAGCACTCGGTAAGCTAGGACGAAGCCGATCATTATCCCCACGTCCATCCATTTTTGCATGTGGTCCACACCAGCGTCTCTCAGCACCTGCTTCCCGGTCCACGCGCAAAACCCTGTCGTGGGGTCGACCGGCACAAAACAGGTGTCCAACTGGTTCTCGTACTCGTTGATGAGAAGAGCATCGAATGGATATTTGAACAGCGAAATGTAATGCATCCAAATCCAGTAATCGGGAATCTTGTCCTTCGCGATGAAGAATCCAGAGAAGAGGAAAAACGCTCCCATGCACGCGCCAATGAGGGAGTTTCCCATGATAAAGTTCGGCGATATGGCCGCGAAGAACGAGACGAAGGCATTCGCCATGAGTAGAACGAGCCACATAACCAGGCAGAAGAAGAGGAACGCCGTGGCCGTCGGGTAAAGATAAACCAGCCAATAAGCCGGAATGCTGTACATGAGTCCCATCGCGAGCAAGAATGGAGCAAAAATGATCTGATTAGACAGCACGTACGACGAAACTCTGTACGCCCCCCGGGAGGTCTCCCGCATGAGAATGTGTCGTTCTTGCAGGAAAATCGGCAGCCCCTCCGTGGTGCCGGACAGGAAGAAGGTCAGAGTGAAGGCGAGAAATCCCAATCGTTCTGAAGCTCCTGCTTTATCTTTCTCCACTTTGAGAAAAATCGTCCCCAGGCACACGCCGGCGCACAGAGCCTGCACGGCCCGCGCTGTGAAGAGCTCCTTGGGGCGAAGAATATTTTTGAAGAACCGCTGCGCCAGAACCACCACCTCCTGATAGCTGGAGTTGGCATACGTGACCTTCTCCGGCCCGCAGTCGTCTTCCGATCCCCAGGCGCGCTTCAGATACTCCTGGTATTCCAGATCGTCCCAGGCTTGTACCGAGCTCTCGTCGTTGCCATTCAAGAAGTCTTTCAGTTTGGGCAGATTGACGCCCGTGGCGTGCTGGGCTTTGATGGCGTCGGCCTCCTTGGAATTGATGGCATCCATGGCGTATTCCAGAACATTGACTTGGGGTGGAATCTCGTGGCCCTGAGCTTCGAGCCGCACGGCCAGAAGCTCCAGCGATCCGTGGTGCACCACCATCCCGTCGGCGAGGAGGAGAACGGAGTGCATGAGCTGAAGAAGGCGAACGCTCGGCTGGTGGATGCTGAGAATGACGGTGCGGCTGTGGGACTCCGCCATGAGTCTGAGCATCTCCACGATGTTCACGGCCGCTGCACTGTCGAGCCCCGAGGTCGGCTCGTCGAGGAAGAGCACGGCGGGATTGTGAATGAGGTCCACCCCGATGGACACCCGCCGCCTCTCTCCGCCCGAGACTCCTCGATTTAGCTCGTCGCCGATTCTCGTGTTCGCTGCATGGTCCAGCCCCAGCTCGGCCATGATGGTCTTGACTCGGGCAAGCTTTTCCGCATACGGCATCGTCGCCGGGAGCCTCAGCCTCGCGCTGAAGAGAAGAGTTTCCATTACCGTCAGGCAGGGGAAGAGGGCGTCGTCTTGCATGACATAGCCCGAAACTCGTTGGAATTGGTGCACATTCACCACTTGATTGTTGACGAGGATGCATCCCGGCGGACTCGTGGGTTTCACACGGCCCGCCAACACCTCGAGCAAAGTCGACTTCCCGGCACCGCTGGGACCTGCCACAGCCAGAAGCTCGCCGGGCTTCGCCTCAAAGTTTATATTCCTCAAAATATAGCGATCGAGTTTATCCTTAGGCGGCGCGTCTTCCTTCGGGGGGCCGCATCTCAATCTCTGGATGAAATCCCTCACGCCCTCGAACTTCGATTGTCTGCGAGGCGGTAACTTGTAGAACAAATTCTTGACGAAAATCTCGTACGTTCGGACCCTGTCCGGCGATGGGTCCACCGCGACCTTCGAATTTTTCAGCTGAAAGCTTCTTTCCCCATTGGGCGGGCTCAGTGGTCCAGGCGGGAACGGCAGCCAGCAGTTGCGCTTGCTCCTGCTCTGGATGCGATCTCCTCGGGAAGTCGGCGGAGCCGTCGTTTGAAATGCGAACGGCAAATCAACGACGACTGATCCTTCGGTGTCCTCGGAAGACGAAACAGCGTCTCCCTCCGAGTCCATCTCGCCCGATGACATGAAACTCGACTCGACAATTTCGATTCAAGCTTACCTCAACAAACCCCGTGCTCGGACTGCGCGACGAGCTGCATGGGCTTCGAACTCCGCTCGATCATTCGAGCTTGCCAGGGCCTCGAGGGAGCTGGGCACTACGGCACTCGTCGCAGCGCAACGAAGGAATGTAGGCGCGCATTGATCCACTCACCGTCTTCGGAGCTCTGTCGATCTTGCTCGACCCCAGCGGCGGATGCAAGAAAATGGCGCGGGGACCGTTTTGTCCACCGGGTGACCTTGAACGCCCGCCCGGACGACCGCCGGGAGCCTAATTCTGATACTCGAGTTTCATGGAGCAGCGAGATCAGATTTTCTAGATTTTTACTTTGTTTTCCGTCAATCATTTCGTTCGCAAGACCTTCGGCTGGACGCTTTCTTAACGCCAAGAAAAGGTCGCGGAGAATTTCGATCGGAGCTGGGATTGGGTAGACACAATTCTCCAGAAATACAATTGTTTACAGCAGCGACAACGCGTCCTGCATTGACTGCGTACGTTATCCCGGCGCGCATGTACTGCGTAGGTGACAAATTTCGACCTGCGCATTTCTCTCAGAGCTAAAGACTATTCCAACATTCCTCGTAGCTCAATTAGTCTACGTACTCTACGAGGAAACAAAATTAAACGCCAAAAGGATGGGAAGACCCCATCCAGTCGCATACGGAACAATCCACCGGACTAGGATGGGGCTAGACCCCAAAGGACCCCAAATGTGTCACGTAGTCTGCTCTACAGCATGCATTATGTTTTCTGTTTGTCGCCTGGAACCTCTTCGTAATCAGAGGTTTTCATTTATTATTTTCATTTTCACTTTTTCCAGTATAGTTATTTTTTTGCAATTCATGAAGGATGTTTTTATCGATCAGTCATATCTTCCTTTCATTATTCGGAAGCTCTCGCCTCCGTGTGAACGAACAGATGCAAGCTGACAAAAATATTTGGAGTGATATATATATATATATATATATATATATATTACTACTAACGACGGCCTCATATATTTCGAGCAAAATCTTTCGAAAGAAAATCATTGTGTGAGACTCCGCGAACACGCTTGAAGATACAGTAGTGTAGTTTGAAGCGACACTTGGGCGGTAGGTAACCTAGTGTGGACGTGAATTTGAATTCAAGTGGGTGATGGCGGGTGGAGTGCATGTTCAATCAAGCGGCGGGCGCGAGCGGGCGGGCAGGAGGTAGAAAAGGTGCGATGATTTTGTGCACTTCAGGTGGTAGTTGGCGACACAATAGTGTCAAAATTAAGCGGGGAGAAGGCGGGGAGGGGGGTGGGGAGAACAGTGCAAATTGGACTACTCGAGAGCGTCACAGCTGAGCTTCTGGAGAGTTGGTGTAGGAAGATGGAGCCAACTAACTGCTGTAGGTCACTGGTATGGACAACTCCGGATCTGACACACGAACGTACGCACACCTTTCATTCAACCGATTCGGATGTCGAACTGAGGAGACTAACCACGGAGAAGTAGTGCGGAGCAAGAGAGGAAGGAAGGAAGGAAACCTCGTCGTTTTTTTCTCCGAAGTTCCCATCACCTGCTAATCTCATCATCTCATGTGAAAATTTGTCTCGAATTATGGGCTTTGTACTTGTGAGTGTCATAATCAGATGAAACCCAAGAGGAGGGAGTCAGATAGCGAAAGAATACGAGTACAGAGTATCATAACAAATGGGAATACCCCACGGAGTCGTACAGGGCTGATGGCTGCACAAGCTGTCGTGCATTTGTACAACGCCCTCTAGGACATGGGACGCATACTACATGTAATCACGGGACTGAACAGAAGCCAGAATTCTAAACCTCGCAGATATGGTTCAGACCAGTACGACGGTCCTGTAACCTACCCTACAGCTGTCGGACATTGTAGACAAATCTCGGTCGCAGGAGGGGGCTTTCGAAGAAGACAGACACTCCGAGACTCTGAGCCTCCGACGATCAAATTCTCAATTCATTCAGCGGACCTACTGTACTCATGGCGTCGCTCAGCGGATCAGAGCATCTCATGATCATGCACAGTCTACGTTCATTGCCCCTCATTGACCTCACCTCGGACGTACTGTGGATGCAACTTCCTCCTCTTGTAAAGCTAAACTGATTCATGTCCTTTTCGCATGACGAGAGAACAATCGAGACGACGCGACAAATGTGCAGGCAACTCTGCGCAGCCAGAGCCGTCCGGGATTGGGGTAACCCGACAGTCAAACGAGCCTCGAAACCAGCCACCTTCCAGCCGTATACCCATATGGATGGATTCCAATAACGACGCAGAGTACAGAGGTGATCACATCCACTGTTAAAATAATGATCTAAACTCGTGTCTTCGGGATGAGACTCGATAATAAAACACTTTGGGAATCATGTGAAACACCACCCTAAATTCCCAACCACCCAGGTAAATTTCTGTGGAAGAAAATTATTGAGAGAACATGAAGAACTTTTACCCGATTTCGTATACTTGAAAAAAAAAAGCATTCAAAGAAGTAGGCACAAAAGTGATTGATGTCTAGTTTTGTCTTCAATGAATGTGAACATGTTGCTAGTTGAGTAAGTAGAGTGATACTACTACTTTGTGATTGAATGCGAGAGTTTATCAACTAGTATGATAAACTCTCGAATTCACTCACAAACCTATGTTTCAACACCGTGTCTAGTATGTAACTTTTTCCGGAACAATGACACATATAGGATAAACAACCAACATGTCTTTCACCATAACTTTGTTGTTTAGTATCAAGCATGGTTATACCACATTTTTATTCTTATGAGATATCCGTTCTCTTGCCATAGAAAATACCATGTTTTTTTATATGAAATATCCGTTTTCATATGAACAAAGAGTTATATGTATCCTCATTGCATGGAAAATAATAATACTTTCACATTTGAACATTAAAGATGTAGATGCATTGACTTGGGCTAGGATAGTGGTTAGGTAATATTTTTGGTTTGAACAATGAACTAGTTGTAAATTGAAAACATACCTTTTTTTCCATGGAGAATTATGCTTCAACAAATTTTTTTTGCTTTTTGACACTGAATGCTCCAATTTTATGCTCTGAATTTTTCATGTTCTACATAATTTAGATATAACAGTATCTTACAAAAATCTAAATTAGTTTTGTCATGAATTTATTATAATAATAATAATTTATTATGAACTTTTGATCGCATGTTGATTGTATCATATCATATATATTTCAGAGCGGCTAGTTATCATTCAGTTTGGACTATCTGTTACTCACCCTAGGTTAATGTACAATTCTTCTTCCCTTTTCTATGTGCCGCGAAACTTTAGTAAACACATGGACCCATTGAACATAACTCTGTTCAGTCGGGTGGATGATAACTAGCCCCGCTGCCCCTCTCTTTATTTATATATATATATATATATATTGCCTCAAAACATACATAATTCTGTTTAAAAAAACAATCATCATTAATTTTCAACGTGACACAAGTGCATCATCCTAACAAAATATTGCTCTTATCACAAAAAACTAGGAAAATAATTATAATGTACTTTCACTTGGGTCTTGATTCCCTCCATTCTGAGCATCTTGATGCAGCTAAGCTCACTGATTCCAAACCATGTTCTTGCTCATGCCAACATGTAGTATCTTCGCCACAATTGCGACTTCCACAACAAAAACTATCGGAACTTTGAACTTGCATGCAGCAGATAGGAAACTTTTTATGAGTGTACGAGCCTAAGCCTATGAGCTAGAAATCTCCTTCTAACGGCAGGACTTCCAGAATCCACACGCATGAATTACTGTACACACGACTCTAGTGGACAAGATGAGGCGTTAATGGGGAGTATCAAGTGGCGATACCTTTCACGTAGTTTGACCACTTGCTTTCCAACTTCAAGCCCAGTATATAAGATTGTCAAGGAATTCTAATGTGAGCAAGTAATCATGCAAATAAATCCTATTACTAGTGATTCCCAGACCTAGGCTGGATTTCAGTTATTTGCTGTCCTGGTCCTGGCGGTCAATCTCGAAAAAAATAGAGGCAGCTTTGTGCTTGAGTTTAGACTTCACACACATTTTCCGAGCTGGTGTCTGGTTCTGCGCCGCGCCTGGAAGTCACATATATCGAACTAATTCTGAACTTGCCGCATCCCTCCGTCGCTGGTTTTAGTAAGCCAAGACAAGTCCGAGGACAGCACTCATGACCACAACCAGCTCCAAACTGCTGTCAATGTACGAGCATGTTGGAACCTGCAGGGCTACTTACGATATGTGCTAAACTTCGACTGTAACATTCAACGGATTCCTGCACATTGTACTCGACTGACTGCATTCTGTACAACGAAGGATGTAATAAATCAGATGGCGACAAGTTTAAAATAGTGACAAACGAAAAAATGAATATAATTTTGAAACAAAAAATAGATTTTTCTTGAATAGAATTTTCCTTTTTACAAGAAAATTTGATAATTGATTACCCATTTCACGCAATACTATTTTAAAAGTTTCTGTTTTAAGCTCGATACGTGTTTCTCTTTGACCCATTATACTCGCAAAATTGCAATATGTGAACATTTTACTTCGACGATTGGAGAGTACAATCGAGTTCTAAGAAAACTTTGCCAGTCACTTTTAAGGGTATGCACGCAACTCTCGTCGGTAGACTTTAAAATGGCTAGAAGTAGGCTACCGTAGGTGCACAGATTTATGTTATTGATTCTTCCTGAGTTTACAATACTAAGGTATCACCCTTTCTTGAATTTTCATCGGATTCGTCAAAGAAATATCTTGTATTTCCTTATTTCAGAATATTAGTATGTGGAGAAAAAAGCCAATGGTTTCAATTATGCACAAATGACTAACTTCTACGTGTATGTCCTCATAAAATTTACCATTTCTTCATGTCGTCTGTTCCCCGACATATATAGCCCGCATGTGATAGACTATCCATATTCAAGTGATATTCTTACACGTGGTTGTTGATTTCTGACATAACAAATACCACATTCAGGGGAGAAATCAGTCGTAATGCAAAAACGTAATGTTCTTTTTCATAGACAATAATGCACTATCACATGATTTCCGGTTATTCAAGATATAAACCGGTTCCTAGTTTATATCTTGTGAAGTTATGTACGTGCCTTCTTTCTGGACTGTTCAATTTTTCAGGGTCATCAATTAGAAATGTATCTATATTTTATGCTAGTAGTTTCAAACAATCTCCAATGTATCAGTGGGTTATTACAATCTTCAATTTAACGCACGCTTTTAACTAGAACTGAACGTGAATGTTCAAATTGTAAGATTTCGACTGTTATTAAGTTTTGCAATTTCCAGGACATTTTCTCCAGGACACTTTTTCTTCATTCTAAGAATATGTTGCAGAGTCCAGTATTTTCAGATATGGTAATTACGTAGACTTAGATCAAGGACCCAACTCCAGCATTCGTCTGCATTGAACCGAATGTCAAGGTTTAATGTCAGAAATCATGAAAGATGTATACTTTACAATCGGTAGCTTCCTTTTCATGTTTCCAATCTCGGAATGCAATATATATGATCCAGCTTTAGACTTCTAGCATCGAAATGACCAGTATATGGATTGCCTTGGGATCTCATGCTTCAATATAAAGGACAAAAGCGTCTTCTACAATCCTTTT